GCAATAATCTATGTGCCGTTAAAATATCGTTTTTTTTTTTTTTAGTCTGACTCGTTTTCTGTGGCACTTTTTTCTGAAATAATTTTGTATGATTGTAAAAAGAGTACCAACGCTTTTTAGAACAATAAATTCATTTGTTCACTCATTTTCATCTGTAGAGCCTGTCAAGAAAGATAAAAGTACTTTCTTATAATTTCTTCCAAGGAATATAAATAGTTGTTGTTTATTTCACCAGCGTCAATGAATCATTGTTCTCGCCGGAACACGGGTATCGACTGAAGGAAGTTGTTGTATAATAATAATAACCTCAGCCTATTTAAGAGTCCCTACTCGTTAAACTTACTAAAGCGCATTACTGCATAATTATAAAGTCTCGGAAGCTTCAGAAGAATTCAGTTTAATGTGGAGTGCTGTGTGCGTCTTCACAACTGTAACTATAACCACACAAGAATATTATACACTGAAAACTTTTATAGTAAGACTCAAAACTTAATCCTCCAGTGTGTGTGTGTGTGTGTGTGTGTGTGTGTGTGTGTGTGTACTGGAGCTCTCAGAGGACATTCCAGCATGGCTGTCTAGACTGATGTGTCCACATCCGCCACTCAGGTGCTGACGGCAGTGCTGTCTTGACCAATCATCCTGACATTCCTGTGTTGTGTGTCCGCCAGTTTTTTCCATTCATTGTGACAGTGCTACGTGTGTGTGTGTGTGTGTGTACGCGCAGTGTTGTGTTCTGAATGTGTTTATATATAGATAAGCAGGTACGTGTGAAAAACAAATATACGGAATATAATGATTTTGACCAATGTATTTGAAAAATTATAACTACCTTGTCACCTTTTGTAAATCTTAAATTTTGCTTTCACATTGTTTATGTATAATCTTGTTCTCCGAAAGTGACTGTGGTTTATGACTGTCATTCATGAAAAATGAATATTGATTCCAAACCACCAGACCACCTCGGGCGCTTCACTCACAGTCTTTCCCAGGAACAGTTTTTTCGATTGTATCTACAACACTTTCTTGTTCAGTATTTTTGTACATCAGACAATCTTCATCAGTTCCAAACATCTTGCTTCAAATATCGTAAGTATTTCTGAAGGAGACGTATTGGTGAACAAATTTGACAGCTGACAGCAGCTAATCACTTCCTCCACCATATACAATACTTTTAAAATGTCACTTCAAGAGCAATGTAAAGTTTTGCAAGGTTCGTAAGCTTTTGGCAGTTCCAGCTGCTATCAAAATGTTTGTTGGTGTAAGGCTGCCGTACTGATTCACGGTACTATCTGAATGATCATCACCACCATAACTGGAGGCAGGACACAACAGGTGTCCACTCATGTAGTGTGAATAAGGCCAGCCTTTGCCATATCTTCACAGCATATCACCAAATTGATCTCGTAGTCATCACCTGTTCCTCCTGTGAACTGATCATCGTCAGGTATATATGCACAATGGTTCAAAATTTACTTCACTGAACCTGTGTGTTGACGGATACTACTCAAAACACGTTAGATAAAAGGATTTGATCTACCAATTCATAAAGTTTACCTCTATAACTAAGGCACTGCAAGTACACCCTTAAATACGTGTGTGGTATATCTTTCGTGAGGACAATACTGTACAACATAACTCCTGAAACGCTGGAAAAATTTTCTTGACACATGGTAAAGATATTGGTACCCTGGCAGAGGTTTAATACATGCATAGTCTGACTTTTTGAAGATACAGTACATCAGTAACGTTGTTCTTTAAGTGAGCGCTTAGGCGCGGCGTCCATTGTAACACAATACATATCAATTTATCAGTGTTCCTGGTTTGGTCATTATTCACCCTATAATCAGTTTAATAACCGAGTTCAACAAAAAACCTATCAAGAGGGTTTGACTCATACCATCACCCACAACAGCTGTATTTCACTTTATGTTACCCATTACTGTTTTTCACTCATCCCGTTATGTAAACAAAGACTATGGAAGATTTGCTACTAAACACCAAATATCATCCCATATCAATCGTATTATTGAATACTTGCAGCCGCATGATAATAAATAATACGGACCTTACGTCACCCGTGACCGAGCATAAGGCAGACAGTGGACCACGGAGCGGTAAAGGGAGAATTAATTAATATTAACCATGACTGAGGATCTTACGTGGCGCCACACTGAGTATAATGACGCAAAGCCTATGGTGATGTTTTCCAGAAGTGCGAATAGAACAAGGATATGCACAGATAAAGATTGTTAATGCTATTTCAAATTCTTCTCTTTCTTTTGATACAAGTTACATTTCCGGGCTGATAAGTTTAACAGCATAAAACTTATTACTGAAGCTTGCTGGATGGAAAATAATCCAACTTCTGAAAAATAGTCCTGACCTAAAACACACTAAGAATGGGTACTGATGAAGGTATACGAAGATCCATTCATACGATCCAAAATTTTTGCTCACAAAGATTGGTTGGTAAGGAATGTAGATTACAGTTAAAAAAAAACACATTATAGGAAGAGATTGGTGGTGTTGCGAAGATCCAGGAAAACCCCCAACCTTCCGGCAATTTGTCAGTATAATTCAAGAGGACTTAGAGTCAGTGATCACTTAGCAACAGGTAACAGTGACACTGAGTTGCACTAGACGCGACACTTACTGATCCCTCCCCAACACCTCCCTACCACCCACACCCCAACTATTTTACTCTAGTTACTGATAACCATGGCGACGCTCACTGAACACGAGCTACGTCAATAAGAATCAAGGTAATGTTAAGAGTGCGGTTGGTGTGATGGTGGAAGAGGCAGTGTTGGTGGTGAGGGTGGGCAGAGAGGGTTGGTGTAAGCGGGTGCTGGAGCCAGAGGCAGAGCGGCCAACAGCGGTTATCCCCGTAGTAATGACGGTGTTTAGGCCAGCAGGTGCTACTCTCACCTGTGTTAATGAGATACACACATTTTCACGTTTTCTGCACATCCGGCCAGGTTCCCGACTCCTATTTTCTTTCTCCCACGCCCAGTAATCACGCAACTTGTGGTTTGAAGCACATGCCATGATTATAAAAGCGAATATATGTAATCCAGAAGAAGGAACATCCTAAACATCATTTTGCATTTCCAGACACGATGGCGATAACCCTAGACCAAGGCTGTCTCTAAACTCAAGGCCTGAGAAACCGCCCTACAGCCATGACTGTCTACATTCTCAAGGCTTTAGTCATAGCCCTAAGCAAGGACTGTCTCAAATGTCCAGGTGCAGGTGCAACCCGAGTAATGAAACACGTCACTCGTCAACCCTTGGTCAGGCAATAAACTCTTAAGTTACATTAATGAATTCTATCTAAATGTCAAACGTACTCAGATTGTTCAATTCATAGTAATTACTTTTATTGATTTTTTTTATTTGTTACAGAGAATTAGTAAAACTACCACCTCTGATTACCCTTATTAAGAGTAAATGAAGGGCACTCTGTAGCATCCTTATGTATTTATTGCTGGTAATTCCTGTTTGTTAACTGCACACACACACACACATTATATATATATATATATATATATATATATATATATATATATATATATATATATATATATATATATATATATATATATATATATATTGTCCAGAGTCAGTTACCACAAGTGGTGGTGTCAAAACGATGTTCTGTACTTGACTTCTTTATAAGCCGTGACCTTGACCTTTAATTAACTGGTCTATTCCTTTACCAACACAGACATGAACCTTCCTTTTGACTTACACACACACACACACACGCACACACACACACACACACACACACACACACACATACATATATAAATAAAAACACACACACACACACACACACGGAGTGATGTGGTGGTAGACATATTGATATGGTGGTAGCCACAGTGAGGTGGTGGTAGACATAATGGTGTCACTAGCACAACAGCAGAAGCTAGTGTGTCACTTCTCACTAACAAAAAGAGCAACATTAAGTCAGTGTACACATCACACGCCTCACTGGGGCAGTTCTGAGAAAATTTATATTAACGTGACAGGTTTATGAGGGGCGACCTACTACGTCGTTAGTAATATATCTTTCAAGGAGTTCTCAGAAGAAACTGTGTGTGTCTCCATCCCGGTCTGGACAAAATAACAACTGAAGTTTCCCACAACATTCACCTGCTAAAAGCCTTTTTAATGAACATATTTTAAGGTGTATATGAATACTCAGATACACAGAGAGTAAGGGTGACCGTCTCCTGAGGAAGTCATTATGTCAATCAACTAGTCAAAAAATTCATGTTAACTGGACAAATATTCCTGAGGTTCTGTGGAGTCTACACCAATTACCACAAAGTTGTCGAGCCTCCGGTATTCTTCCTACACTTCAATCACTCGCAGTCCTTTACAAGACATATCAATAATAGCGTTTGGCGAACCGGTATGTAAATTGCTCTCAGCTAAGCTAAAAATATCCTGCATGATGTGAAAAAGTCGACCTAGCGAACAGAGTAATGTTAGGTAAGGCGCCTTGTGGGGCAGGTGTTTTGACTCATCTCTCCTCTCTCTCTCTCTTGACTGTACATGTTTTTGTTTGTATGAGAGTGTTTAATAATATTGCTTGTGTTTACTTGTGTATATGAGCGGGCGTTCATGTTATTCTTTACCTGTACACACACACACACACACACACACACACACATACTGTATATATATATATATATATATATATATATATATATATATATATATATATATATATATATATATATATATATATATATATATATATATATATATATATATATATATATATATATATATAAAACATTACGATAAATTGCATAGTTTATTTTTTATATACTGTATAATAATGTTTTCTGCCCTGGAACAATTCCGAGATATTGTATTTTGATTAAAATTTAAAACTCAATTTTGTTAGCAGGACTCTTGTGGGCTCTTGTGTGATATATTCGATATAGAGCGTGATGAAAAACATTAACCGGGTGCCCACCTTCCAGATTGGTGAGGTGAGGAGGTGCATCTGGTGGCGCTTGAGGGGGACCGTTCCAGTCGTATCTTCCAGGAGGAGCGCTGCTTCCTGGAGCAGCCAGAGGTGTCAGTGTGTGTCGGGAGCCGCCACACTCCCGCTCCGTCTTCTAGGAAAGCACTTATGCGCCTTTTGGCTCGTAATACACAACGAGACGGAGATGGTTAGCAGACTGCCATGACAGACGGCCGGGAGCTGCTGGCTGGTGTTGGTGGCTTAAGGTGCTCTTGAACCTTACACCCATGTTACTAAAGGTGCTACCCAAGGCTCATCCAGTGTTCCTTGTACACATGTGTTACGGTACCTTTGTTACTTGAGACTCATGCATTGGTCCGTCTATATAAGTGTTACGTTGAATTTGTCATCTGGGATCTATCCAGTGGTCGTTGTAGACTAGTGTTACGTTCATTTGTGTCCTGAAATTCATCCCGTGGTGGTTGTACATAGGTGTTACATTATCATTGTGAGTGGAGCTATATCTTTCTTAGTGTACGTGTCGCGGTGCCTTTGTTACCTGAGACCCATCCAGTGTTGTAACTGCGCAGGTGTTTTTGTGCCGTTAATTACTGGAGGAAGATGCAGTGTGGGTAGCGCACACACACACGTGCTGTGGGATCAGGTCGCCCCACTGGCTGATGACTGCGTGACTGAGAGGATGTCACCGAGTACACGAGTTGGTGGGGACACAGTGTAGTGAGTCGCAGACTGTCACAGTGTGCTCAACTCCTCAACATCGGCTCTCCAGCGACTTATCTTCACTTAAGATAACTTCAATGACGTAAACGACTCATCTTCAGTCTAGTGAACTAGCAGATGGACCTGTGGAAGCCAGCTGTTCGCAAGGCAAAAAAAGTAAGTGGAAAAAGACGATAAATTTTGTTGTTCAAAGTGACATATATTTCATATTGATGCATTTCTTGTGTAAGATATGTGAGAGGGACAAGTGATTATTACACCAGGTGTGTATTTTCCTCTATACATGACCCATACATTAATTATGTATAAGTATACATTCGACAAAGATGCAGAGTACGATGGGAATTATAATTTGGACGACTCTAAAGTTGACAAGAGACAACCACTCAGACTGTAAAGCTATGTGACCAAACTCGCATGGTGAAATTACTGCCGCTTGTTGTCTCTGGTTGTCACGGCAACGTAAAGGTAATATTCAACCTTGATCATAATGACTGGTCACTATACCTTAATCATAATGGCTGGTCATTATACCTTGATCATAATGGCTGGTCACTATACCTTAATCATAATGGCTGGTCATTATACCTTGATCATAATGGCTGGTCACTATACCTTAATCATAATGACTGGTCATTATACCTTGATCATAATGGCTGGTCACTATACCTTGATCATAATGGCTGGTCATTATACCTTGATCATAATGGCTGGTCACTATACCTTAATCATAATGGCTGGTCATTATACCTTGATCATAATGGCTGGTCACTATACCTTGATCATAATGGCTGGCCACTATACCTTGATCATAATGGCTGGCCACTATACCTTGATCATAATGGCTGGTCACTATCCCTTGATCATAATGGCTGGTCACTATACCTTGATCATAATGGCTGATCACTATACCTTGATCATAATGGCTGGCCACTATACCTTGATCATAATGGCTGGTCACTATACCTTGATCATAATGGCTGGCCACTATACCTTGATCATAATGTCATTGTTTGCACACCACCACCACCACCACCACCAACAACAACATCAACAACATATTTACTCTGCTTATAAGCTTCAGTATACATCCTTATAAGCTTAAGTGTACATCCTTGTAAGACTTCAGTGTACATCCTTATAAGCTTCAGTGTACATCCTTATAAGCTTCAGTGTACATCCTTATAAGACTTCAGTGTGCATCCTTATAAGCTTCAGTGTACATCCTTATAAGCTTCAGTGTACATCCTTATAAGCTTCAGTGTACATCCTTATAAGACTTCAGTGTACATCCTTATAAGCTTCAGTGTACATCCTTATAAGCTTCAGTGTACATCCTTATAAGCCTAAGTGTACATCCTTATAAGCTTCAGTGTACATCCTTATAAGCTTCAGTGTACATCCTTATAAGCTTCAGTGTACATCCTTATAAGACTTCAGTGTACATCCTTATAAGCTTCAGTGTACATCCTTATATGCTTCAGTGTACATCCTTATAAGCTTCAGTGTACATCCTTATAAGCTTCAGTGTACATCCTCATAAGACTTCAGTGTACATCCTTATAAGCTTCAGTGTACATCCTTATAAGCTTCAGTGTACATCCTTTCACTCGATGTACAGTATTATAATATATTTATGACATTGAAGGACTAACACAGTCTTCCAGTTATTACCAGGAGTTACACAGTCTTCCAGTTATTACCAGGAGTTACACAGACTTCCAGTTATTACCAGGAGTTACGCAGTCTTCCAGTTATTACCAGGAGTTATACAGTCTTCCAGCTATTACCAGGAGTGTCACAGTCTTCCAGTTATTACCAGGAGTTTCACAGTCTTCCAGTTATTATCAGGAGTTACACAGTCTTCCAGTTATTACCAGGAGTTTCACAGTCTTCCAGTTATTACCAGGAGTTACACAGTCTTCCAGTTATTAACAAGAGTTACACAGTCTTCCAGTTATTACCAGGAGTTACGCAGTCTTCCAGTTATTACCAGGAGTTACACAGTCTTCCAGTTATTACCAGGAGTTACACAGTCTTCCAGTTATTACCAGGAGTTACACAGTTTTCCAGATATTACCAGGAGTTACACAGTCTTCCAGTTATCACCAGGAGTTATACAGTCTTCCGGTTATTACCAGGAGTTACACAGTCTTCCAGTTATCACCAGGAGTTATACAGTCTTTCAATGAAAAAAATGTAACTGTGGGTCCCTGGGGCTCTATGGCTCATAAGGTACAGTGTTGGTACAGTGCCCTGTTGACCGAACCTTCGAGACACAAGGAGCCAGCGCCACCACTGTCCTCGACCGTTCTCACTTCATCAGCTGTAAAGTTAGGTAACCATTCACAGTTAGTTGCGCTTGGTGTGCCCTTGGCGCAAACCAGCTACTCTTAGGGTAACATGCGAGACTTCCTTACCACTTCTTACAATAAATAAAATGCAGTCCTCTTGTGAAGAAAAATTACCTTGTCGGTGCAAGTGTTTATACTGTGAGTGTATGAAACGGTAGGACTCAGTGCCGGATTTAGACCTGTGGAGGCCCATGGGCAGCCTCTTTGTGGAGGCCCCCCTCATTATAACTACCCAAGAGGGTGGGGTGGCGAGTGAAGCGAGCCGAAACATCTGGGAGTTCCGGAGAGGTTAATTGATTACTTAACTCCCTGGAACATTTGGACGCCAGCATATTTTTAAAATTTGGAATTTTGGGTAAGATTATGACCTCTCCCTCTGACTTCTCCCAGTCCCACCCCTAAAGCTCGCCGTCGGTTCACCTCCTTTTCACCATTGACTATACTGTGTTATACTGTATATACTGATCGTGGAACTGACAGAAACCGTCATTGACATAGTTAATGTACTCAAAATACATAAAAATAACTCAACTTACTTGCAGCCAATCGACCTGTAGTATCTTAAAGCACAATTATATATGTGAACGTATATTCTAAGAGCACACCCACCCACACTGAAGCACAAGCATCAATCGACTCTCTCTCACTCGCACTCTCACTGTACATTTGCAAGACATGTTCTAGGAAATGACAACTGACAAGATCATTCATCACTGGGCAGCTGCCCACTTTGCCCACTCCTGAATCCGGCCCTGGTAGGACTGCCGTTTAAAGATTACACGTCGGACAAACTCAACCTTACCTGCTCCATGAAGGTTATAAATAATAAAACAGTTAAATAAAATAATAATAGGTTTTCAACGCCACACGAGTATAACTGTTATGTCGGAGAAATTATGTTCACAAACGAGGAATATCACTCGTCTATTCTTGCAGACAAAACAGCTTTATTAAGTCATCATCATTAATGATAACCTTAGTGACATAGTTCCTTGAGACAATTATACTTGGCAGGACAACATGATCTGTAGTAAGCTTGTCTTAGTTAAGTGGAGTACGGTGTTGGAGTACGGAGGAAGAAACTTTTAAAGAGCTTAAACACAACACACCTTGAATGACTTCGCTGATGTAGTAAAATCTCCGTGAAATGTTTTGATTCTTGGTGGTTGTTGAACCAAAATCTTACGCAGATTGTTGAGAACATACCGGTGCAAGGTGCAAAGTCATTATATATAGAACAGAGTATGACTCTCCCTATGAATCATGACAACCCCCAGCATCGATAAGAAAATCTTTTTCTGTGTTATTTTGCCTACGTACATGTTTACCTCAAAACAGGATAGGGTTGTGAAGCGTACATCTTAAACTGGGCCAAACATGAATAACTTATCGCTCTATGTTTCCGTTTTGGATATGGCAAACACTTTTACACTGTATCAGGTATCTTTGTGCTTTTACATTAGTCAAATCTCTGGACATAACGCTGGACATGTTTTATACTGGGCTCCCCTATGTACAGTTGCTGACAAAATTCCCAAGACACATGGCAGTAGCCGGCATATAAATACTTGAGGATAATTTTTCTCAGTATTAATGGGCGTTTTCTCCATTTTGTGGTTCTGACATAATTTGTGACGAAAAGTAGCGTTACTAAATATAAACTAATAATATATATGACTGCAACTGAACATATTAGGCATGTCTGTGTACTTATATATGAAACAACTTTGTGTACTTAGTAAATAAGTATTCATACACTGCAGCGTAAACATCTCAGACTACTGTATTATCAGACAACATGATAGTGAGCGCTGAGTCACAATGATAAACAACAATCTTAGGTGATATTCTGTTTTTCGTAATTTTTATCGATATATTATAGGGTTGCGTTTATACTACGAAATAATTTGACAAAATTAACACCTGAAATTCTAAAACTGGAAAAATTCTGATTATTTTGCCTAAATGACACACTGAAAAGATACAGAGTTTTTCGTGCATATACTTTGAGTGTATCAGCATATTCCTTCTGTGTTTCTCATGGTGCCAACCTACCTCCTTTTCAACTAATAGGCAGTATATACCGTTGTGTACATACAGTCCTCCTTTCCGTTTATGAATATTAATAATGATCTTTTTCTAGTAAGTTAATTAATGGCATGTTAAGGAGGATTCGAAGTCATGAGAATATGTCAAAAAAATGTGAGTTGATGAATGAGGGTTTATTGAGAAACATTTCAATGGCAGGGACCATTTACCAGCAGTTTATATATATATATATATATATATCTTGATAAAATCACAAGGGGAAAGGGAAACAACGGAGCACCTTAGCTTTCGTCTTTATTCAAAAGACGAAAGCTAAGGTGCTCCGTTGTTTCCCTTTTCTCGTGTGATTTTATCAAGATTTATCTTATCCACATTTTCATTGTGGATCTATATATATATATATATATATATATATATATATATATATATATATATATATATATATATATATATATATATATATATATATATATATATATATGAGTGTGTGTGTGTGTAATAATAATAATAATAATAAACGGTTTATTAGTAGAGTTGCAGCCTGTGGCTGAAAATATACAAACTTACATTTGATTTAGACATAATGATATGCGTTGAATACATTTCCAGGGCTGTACAGTACATAAATCAGGAGTTGTTTAGTATTTTATCAATAGATGGGATGGTGCTATTCTTATATCTATCAGTGCGGGCTTTTATGGGCTGAATTTTGTTGTAGTGGCGGACTGGGCGAGGTGGGCAGGGGACTGCCCA